TGAGGAAATTATAACTTTAAGGTGATTTAGCATAATGGAACATTCAACATCAAACTCTCAGAGCTAAGTTTTCATCTCTATAATGTATTGTGTGCTATATTTGTCATTCAGTACTTACTACAACAGTTTGCTGTTTCCTTGTCTCTCTCCGTCTTCTCTACTGTGAGTTCCTTGGGGGTAAGTTACATGGTTCCCTCATCTTACTTATCCACACTGTTTAGCACAAGGCCTTGGTACATGTTTACCAAAAGACAGTGTATTTAGAGTCAGAGGAGACTAGGCAACTGTAAAATTATTCCTACCAGAAGTTCTCTGGACCCTCGTGGATGGGCAAATTACTAAGCTTAGTCTATCAAAAAAATATTTATCAACCACCTACGATTATACAACGTATTTCAAAGGTGTTGAAAGAAATATAGCACATGGTTCCAACCATCATGGAGCTTGTAGTCTAGTTGTGCAAGGCAAAAATACATGTTTATAAATAAAGAGATCACTTACATGGCAAAACCTAAGAAGTGCAGAGTGGCATGGTTAGGATGTGCTTTTGAATTCAGAGGATCACTGTGAATTTGAAAGAAGATATAAGATTTTTTGGTGGTCTTGAAAGTTAAATGGGAACTAGATCTGCAGAGGGAAGCGGGGGGTAGTTATTTAAAATATTTTTTTTTTATTTTTAAAGTTTTTTTTTTTGTCAAATATAGTTTTTTTTGGTTTTTGGTTTTTTTTGGCTTTGCCGCGTGGCACGTGGGAGCTTAGTTCCCTGACTAGGGGTGGAACCCGTGCCCCCTGCATTAGAAGCATGGAGTCTTAACCACTGGACTGCCAGGGAAGTCCCAGGGGGGTAGTTATTTTATTTTGGGGAATGTATAAAAGATTCTTCAAGGATCAGAAGTGTTCTTGGGCAAACATATACAGTTGGCCCTCTGTATCTGTAGGTTCCGCATCCACAGATTCAACCAACCTTGGATAAAAAATATTAAAAAAAGAAAAAAATCCAGAAAGTTTGAAAAAGCAAAATTGAATTTGCCACATGAAAGCAACTATTTACATAACATTTACATTGTATTAAATATTATAAGTAATCTAGAGATGATTTAAAGTATATGGGAGGGACTTCCCTGGTGACTCAGTGGTTAAGAATCTACCTGCCAATGCAGGGGACACAGCTTCGCTCCCTGGTCTGGGAAGATCCCACTTGCTGTGGAGCAACTAAGCCCGTACGCCACAACTACTGAGCCTGCACTCTATAGAGGCTGCGAGCCACAACTACTGAGCCCGTGCACCACAACTACTGAAGCCCGTGTGCCCTAGAGCCCACGTGCTGCAACTACTTAGCCTGTGCTCTAGAGCTCACGAGCCACAACTACTAAGCCCATGGGCCACAACTACTGAAGCCCGCTTGCTCTAGGGCCCGCGTGGCACAGCTACCTAGCCTGTGTGTTGCAAATACTGAAGCCCACGTGCCTAGAGCCTGTGCTCCGCAACAAGAGAAGCAACTGCAATGAGAAGCCTGTGCACCTCAATGAAGAGTAGCCCCTGCTCGCCACAACTAGAGAAAGCCCATGCACAGCAATAAAGACCTAACACAGCCAAAAATAAAATAAAAAATTTAAAAAATAAAGTATATGGGAGGATGTGTGTAGGTTATATACAAATATTCAGTACTATGCCATTTTATAAGGGACTTGAACATCTGTGGATTTTGGTATTTGCAGGGGGGTCCTAGAAGCAATCCCCCACTGATACCAAGGGATGGCTGTACTCCAATTCCAGTCTACTAAGTAATGTACCTTGCCTTAAAAATTTCTGGAGAAAAACAGTTAACCTATCTTGATAATTTAAAAAGCTTTTTAGTATAGGAAATTTCAAATATACCCCAAAATAAAGAAAATATAATGAACCCCCATGTAAGCATCCATCACCCAGCTTCAACAGTTATCAACACATGGCCAGTCCTTTTTTTTTTTTCACATGGCCAGTCTTATTTCATCTCTACATCCACCCACTCCTGAATTTTTTTGAAGCAAATCCCAGACATTAGTATGTATCTGTAAAAGATAAGGACTTTTTAGTTTTTAAAATATAAACATAGTTTGCTGACATTTCTGAATATTGTTGAGCATGAAGGAAATATTCTAAGGTCTATAAGGGAAAGTTGATATAAATAATGCCTAACATATAGCCTATAGAGTGGTTTAAATTTTTATTGGCACCAACAGATTATGCATGCTTATTCAAACTCAGTTGTTTGGTAATGTTGTTTGATACACATACACATACTTGTAGTTGTTACCTTTTGAAGTAGGGTAACATCAGGAAGAATTAAAGGGCAGGTTTTTTTTTTTTTTTTTTTTTTTTGCATTACGTGGGCCTCTCACTGTTGTGGCCTCTCCCGTTGTGGAGCACAGGCTCCGGACACGAAAGCTCAGCAGCCATGGCTCACGGGCCCAGCCTCTCCGCGTCATGTGGGATCTTCCCGGACCGGGGCACGAACCCATATCCCCTGCATCGGCAGGGGGACTCTCAACCACTGCGCCACCAGGGAAGCCCAAGGGCAGGTTCTTTAGTTCTCCGCAGCTTTATTTTCTTTTTCTTTTTTTTTTTTTAGAATTTATTTTCTTATGGAGTCATCATTTCTTCTGTCTTTCCTAAAGTACTCCAGTTGTCATTTGTCCTATCCCCAGTAGAGACAGAAGAAACTTCTCTGCTACTTAGAGACTTAATTCTTTTGAAGATTTGGTTCCACTTATTTTTCTGTTTGTCTTTTTTATTTTCCAAATGATATTGCCTTTTCTGGAAACCTCTCATTGCTTGCTTAGGTAGAGGATCTTTGTACAACATATATTGACTCCCCACTCCACTGTTTACACTGAATTTTAGTGCATGAGCTAGTGAATAAACATTTTGAGGTATTACATTCTTTTTTTTTTTTGAGGTATTGCATTTTGAGATGCCTGTCAGTTGATTTTTCTAGTTGTATTATTTTATTATTTGAATATTTTATTGCATTTTAGCCTCATTTTATAAAAATGAGCAGGGTACAAAAGCAGTGATTCTAGTGATAAGAAATACTGGTCTCATAATTTTAATACACTTGAGACAAAGATGGAAATCATCAGGTGTCAGTCTTCAGCCTCATCACACTTAACCTGCTTGGCTACAGTTCAAGTATGAAGGAGAGAAACAATCAAAGAGTATATATGAATTGCTGGGAATAAATTGGTAAAGATTATATTTAAAAGGCAAGAAATAATTAGGGATTTTATATAAGTATTTTTAGATTTCAATATATAATTCCTCTTGTCCATCTTTTTAGCTTTTACATATATGACATTTAATACTGTCTCAAATTTTCATCATATACACATTTTCAGGAATACATTGTGAAGCAAAAGTAGAGTGTCTGGTAACAGTCTTTTAATATGAATACATAGAACCTGACGTGTAAGGTGATACTTTCATAATAATACTAGATTGGTTTTTTTCTTTTTATAAATTTATTTATTTTTGGCTGTGTTGGGTCTTCAATACTGCACGCGGGCTTTCTCTAGTTGCGGCGAGCGGGGTCTACTCTTTGTTTTGGTGCGTGGGCTTCTCATTGCAGTGGCTTCTCTTGTTGTGGAGCATGGGCTCTAGGTGCGTGAGCTTCAGTAGTTGTGGCATGCAGGCTCAGTAGTTGCATGGGCTTAGTTGCTTCGCGGCAGGTAGGATCTTCCCGGACCAGGGATGGAACCCATGTCCCCTGTATTGGCAGGCGGATTCTTAACCACTGTGCCACCAGGGAAGTCCCTAGATTGGTTTTAAAACATGTCCACATTCAACTTTTTAAAAAAAACATAGATACTGAGGTACTCAGGTACTAAGATACTAAGAAGACTTTTAATTCTGGGGGTTTTTCAACAAAGAAGGCTTGTTCAGCCTATGCTTTTCTCTTTAAAAACAAAAAAAGATGGTTATTAACTTTTTCAAATAAAACCTTTAAAACATACTTAAAAAGTCCTCAGGAGGAATGAAGGTACTAAGATTCCATCACCATTCTTGGCTTTCTAATTCATTTTGGATTCATAACAGAGTTTTTAACAATGAGATCAGGGACTGGTGATTTTAGTATTACATAAATTTACTCAGTGTGCTGAGTGGAATAGTTCAATTTGAGGAGTAGTGACCTTACTTTCCTTATCATGCTCATATCCCTCCCTAGTAGTAAGTTTGTTTTTTTTTTTTTTTTTCCCCGTGCTACGCGGGCCTCTCACTGTTGTGGCCTCTCCCGCTCCGGACGCGCGCAGGCTCAGCGGCCATGGCCCACGGGCCTAGCCGCTCCGCGGCATGTGGGATCTTCCCGGACCGGGGCACGAACCCGTGTCCCCTGCATCGGCAGGCGGACTCTCAACCACTGCACCACCAGGGAAGCCCCCTAGTAGTAAGTTTAAGGCCTTAGGAAGCTGTATAAACTCTTTCAGATCTGTAGGGTACCCATTAGTTTATGTAATAATCCCACATTCCATTCAATTAATCAGAATATCTTTCCTTATCATTCAAGATAAAAAGAACTTAACTCTGTGGATTTTCAGTTTTCAGTGAATTAGAATACAATGATGTAGACTTAACTTGAAAACTCTAGTAAACATAATTTTACCTCACTTCGATGATTCATAAGGTATGTCGGTATCTCATAACGCCTTAACATTTTAAACATATTTTATGATTTTTTACCATAATCATAGTAGGTATAGAGAATTAGGCTAAATCCATCACTATCCTGAGTTGCTTTAGAAAGATTTTCCCTGATAAAATCTTGTTTGACCGTAAAAATATAGACTATTCCCTGACTTCCCACCCCAAGTGCAATTTTCCGGTTGTTGAAATTATGTATAGACAAGAATTTATTCTTTTAAAGAATTTTGCACATACTGGTCAAGTTAGAATGAGCTTATCAAATTTACTTGAAGCAGTGGTTTTTTTTTTTTTTGGCCACGCTGCAGCTTGCCAGATCTTAGTTCCCTGACCAGGGATCGAACCTGGGCCCCTGGCAGTGAGAGTGCCGTGTCCTAACCACTGGACTACCACGGAATTCCAGAAGCAGCAGTTTCTCATGTGTATCACATTCCTCATTCATTTACCGGTCATTTATTATGTGCTGTGCCATGTTCCAGTTAGCACACGACATGCCAGGTATACAAAATGAATAAAATGTAATCTCTGCTCTCAGGGACTTTTTTTTTTTTTTTTTGCACATGGCTTGCGGGATCTCAGCTTGAACCCGGGCCATGGTAGTGAAAGCCTGGACTCCTAACGACTAGGCCACCAGGGAACTCCCTCTCAGGGACCTTTTTAGACTACGCCCAAGGAGAGAGAGATAGGTAAACAAGTATATAGTATGAAGTGTTATAGTTGTTGTGACTAAAGTACAGTTGCATCACAAAGGAGGAAGTGGGTGATTATACTGGAGGATTGAGATGGAAGGAAAAGCATCATACAGGCTACTCATTAAAAAACAAAAGATGGGGAAGGATGTTCTGGGAAGAGGGAGAAGAGCAAAAATAGACGGTGTAAAAGAAGGTGGCAATTTTGGGAACTACAAATAGTTTGGTATGATTGGGGCTTGGATTGTCTGGTGGGATTTGGTGAGAGATGAAACCAGGGGCCAGATCTTGGAGGGACTTAAATATGATATTAAGGATTTGGGTCTTTATTTTAGCAGCATGGAGAGGATTCTTGAAGGGTTTGGAGGAGGGTGTTACATGATCACTGTGGAAGGAATATAGAAGATCAGGTAGATGCAAGGAGACCAGTTCAGACTAGAGATGATGCAGCCTGAATTAAGGCGGTAGTAGTGGAAATAGACAGGGAGGATGGCTGGTGTTAAGGAGATGCATCTGGCAGGACTTGGTGACTATGTGGGAGTTGAGGAGGAGGAAAAGGGAGAAATTCAGTGTAATTCCCAGGCTTCTGTTTTAGGCTGCTGTGTGCTGTGTGGTGCCATTACAAGGATGGGGAATATAGGAAGAAGAGTAGTTTGGGAGGTGGGAGAGGAAAGAGAACTTGGTTATTTTAGACATAATGAATTCAATAAAGTCCTATGGGATATCCAAATGTATTTATTTATTTAGCAGTTAGTTGTGTCCTGGTGTGGAATTCAGAAGGGAGGTCTGTGCTAGAGGTGTCACCATGCAGGTGGCTAATCACTGATGCAAAGGAGATTATTCAGGCAGTGCTTTAGGGTAGCAAGTGCAATAATTAACATGTTAGGTTTATTATGGAAATTGAACAAAGGATGTCAATGTATCATGTTAGGTATTCTGAGCCCATTTCTTAGAAGGTTGAAACGTTTTGGAGAGAGATTTTCCTTAAGTGGTACCTCTAGTTACTGCTAGTTACTTTGGGCATAATGGCTCTCTTACTTTTTTTTTTTTTTTAACGAGGTTCTGCTCATGTCTGTAGTTTGATTATGGTGACTTAAAAAATGCTAAAGTGTAAAAATGACTAAAGTTCCTAGATTCCGACAAGGGACATCAATTCTGTGGTCAGCAGGTTCTTCCTGGTTTGAACTAACAGTATTACTTTTTAGTCTTATTTGGATAAATCTATAATGTGACCTAATCTTATACTTGAAGCAGCACTTTATGTCATGAGCTTTTAAAGTTAGGAAGGGAAAAGTCTGGTGTAGAAGAGTAGCAAGTGGCGGTGTAAATACAGTAGCAAGAGGAACTTTCCTTTGGGGTGAGGAAAGTTGTTGATTCATTTCCATGGTAGTAGCTGCTAAGCAGTCCCGGGCAGCTTAGAATTTAAATACATTGGGGCACTAGTCAAAGCACTAACATCGAGTTGTAAAGTATATTATTTTATTCCTTTTGAGATAGATTAAAACAAATTTTTTAACCCCATGCTGTGAATATTAATTTTTTCATGATTTATGTAGTTTGTTTATCGATGGACACTTTTACAACAGGATTTATGAAGCCGGATCCGAGAACAACACGGCAGTTGTGGCAGTAGAAACTCACACAATACACAAAATTGAAGAAGGGATTGGTAAGTCTTTTTGTTGTTCTAGTACTTTTTTTTTTGGCCGTACCTCAAGGTATGCAGAACCCGTGCCCCTTGCAGTAGAAGCGGGGAGTCTTAACCACTGGACCACCAGGGAAACCCTGTTCTAGTACTTTTGACCTTAGCTTCCTTGGTTGAGATTTCTTGCCTCTTGTGCCTTATTTTTCCCCCCTACCCAGTGCTGTAGCCATCAATCTGATGATGGCACATCTAGAGACACCGCTGCCTAAGATGCTAGGGCTGTCCGTTGATGTTTAACGTGAATTTGCTAGGGTTGCTGAAAAGATTTTTCATCAATAGAAATCCCTCAAAGAAATTGGAGCCTCAAGGTTGAACTCTGTCATTAGGGAAGTTGCTGATGAGGTGTTGATTGTAAGACAGTGAGTGGAAAGAAACTGAAGTTAGACAAACCTGAGTTTAAATCCCACGTTCTCACTGCTTAGCTGTGTGTCCTTGGGAAAGTCCCTTCACCTTTCTGAGTCCTACACAGGGACAATATAGGAAACAATCACTGCCTCACAGGATTGTTTTAAGAACTAAAAAAGATTAAGCCTATAAAAGCACACAGCACAGCGTCTGGCACATAGTGGGAGCTTGGTAAGAGAGCTGTTATGCCAAACTTCTTCCAGAAGATTCCTAAACAGTACCAACCAGTGTGAACTATTAGCCCCTCAGAGGAACCAGGATACTAGAGATTCTGAATTAAGCTTTGGGGAAGAGTGTTTGATAAATAAATGATATTTTTTCCATTTTCAAGATGCAAGCACTATAGAAGCAAATGAGGATATGGAAATTGCTTACCCCATAACTTGTGGGGAGAGCAAAGCCATTCTCCTTTGGAAGAAGTTTGTATGCCCAGGAATAAATGTAAAGTGTGTCAAGGTAATTGTCTTTTCTCCTTGCTGGGGCCTATTTTGGGTCTCCTTGTTTTCAAAGGGTATGGTTTTAGTGCCTCTTCTCTCTCTTCCACCATGTCAATGTTTTTAATTTTGTCGTGTCCCTTTGTGTCACAGTAAAAAAAAAAAAAAAAAATAGGGACTTTAGAGTGAAATTGACCTGGATTCAAGTCCCACCAGAATATAAGTCCTTTGAGAGCTGAGAATTTGTCTATCTTGTTCACCATTGTATCCCCAACACCTAGACTAGGGTTTGGCATATTTATCAGTAAATATTTGTTGAATGAATGGAGTCCCATCTCTATCACTGACTAGCTAGGTGACCTTGATCAAGTTATTTAATATTTCAGAGCCTCATATGTTAAAATACAAATAATTATATACACACACAGTAAGGTTGCTAGAAGAGGAAGTGAGATCATATATGTAAAATGCCTTACACTGGTGTGTAATTTGGTAGAGTTTATTAAAAATTATTACTGATAAAAATAAGTAATCTTCATGAGAGCACAATATGGAAATAATTGCTTATTCTGTCTCCACTGGTAGCCACAGCTGACCTATGTAGATAGTAGTCACCATCAGTGGCATCATCCTAGAATCATTAAGAATTACAGAGCTTCGAGGCTTTGTAGTGCTGTTGGTTTCTACCATCCTTATTCTTTCTACCAGATCCTGAATTTTGTCATTAGGGCTGGATAGATTACTTCAGTTTAAATAGCCTTTGCAACATTGGACCTGTCTGCTTGATTCAGGGCATAAATGGATTTTAGATCCTAATCAGTATATTAATCTCTGACCCTCCTTGTGTCTTCTGTAGCTTTGTACCAGGACAGGGCACTGTGTCCAGAGAAGGATCATCTTCTCTAGCACAATAGGGTGGGAGGATGGAGAATACAAGGCTATGACTAAAGATGTCTGTCATTTGGGTATTTTTTGTTCATAACAAGTAGAGTTATGTCTTTCTTTCCCTCTTGGCCTGCCTAAATTAACATTGGATTATTTTGGACTTTACTTTTTACATTAGTTTAATGATCAGTTGATCAGCCCCAAGCATTTTGTTCATCTGGCTGGCAAGTCCACCCTGAAGGACTGGAAGAGAGCTATTCGTCTGGGTGGAATCATGCTCAGGTGAGCTCTGATAGCAAGTTCATACCTTTCAGCTGACTGTGGGGCACTTAATCATGGTGGAATCCAGAGAATCCAGTCTTCTTAATTTGAATTTTTATTCTGTCTGAAGGATTGGCTTAAACAATCCATGTATTATTTGACCTTCATCGACTTGTTCTTAAAATCCCTGTGAGAGAAGAAAAATTGAATTAAATTGACTCTTCCCAGCATCTAGGACAAATTCTTCTGATGTCAGAATGTTGGGCAGGATCTTCTCTGGGCAGAGAAGCTCAGGAGTAGATGACAGTCCAGCTTGAGATCACTCAGCATAGGCAGAGCTAAGCCTGGTGCTAAGAAAGCTTGACAACAATGGAGATGTGGGCTGATGGACAAATCCTGGGATAATCTGGTAGAGTAGAAGGGTGCTGTTTGTAAGTAACAATTATGCACAGCGAATGCAATCCTTGCCGTCACTGTACCATTGAAATAAACTTTATTTGTTTTTAAAAAATATTTATTTATTTACTTAGGCTGCGCCTGGTCTTAGTTGCGGCGTGCAGACTCTTAGTTGCGGCATGCATATGGGATCTAGTTCCCCAACCAGGGATCGAACCCGGGCCCCCTGCATTGGCAGCGTGGAGTCTTACCCACTGCACCACCAGGGAAGTCCCAGAAATAAACTTTAGAATGTATAGTATCCCCACTCCCATCTCTTTATGCAGCAAGTTTATCATTGTAATCCACCCCACTCCTCGGTGAAATTAACATTAGTTGGTGTTTCTTGAGCACTCAGCTATTGATAGAAAATTTTAAAATGTGGTTAAGAATTAAAATTTCCCCACAGAACATGTATCATGAGCCTTAAAAACCTCTTACCTTTTGTCTTTAATTTTTTTAAGGAATCTGTCTTAAGAGAAATCTATAGTGCTTGTAGAGATTCAAGTATAAAAGTGTTCATTGCAACATAATTTATGATGGTGAAAATTACAGTCTGCTTTAATATACAATCAGGGTGTA